TGGAGAGAGAGAGAGAGAGAGAGAGAGAGAGTGCTCGCCTCTTCCTTCCTATATTACAACTATTAGTATTACTGAGGGACATGGAGATGGGTTTGGGAATTTTGTGTGTGTGTATATAAGGGGTAAGAGATTTTCACAAAAATGGGGGAGCAACAGGCTGTAGGAGTTGCCTGCTGATTGGGTATCACATATATAAGAGGAAAAGGGTTTCAGAAGAGAGAGAGAGAGAGAGAGAGAGAGAGAGAGAGAGAGAGAGAGAGAGAGAGAGCAGTGAAAGGTTCTCTTTGGGTTTCTTTTGTTTTTTCCATTACAAATCTGAAACAAGTTGGGATTTTTATTTTACGATTTAAGATTGAAAATCTAAGCTCAAAAGCTCAAATTTCAAGCTTGAAATTGTTATTAAAACTCAGGAAAGCTCTGGAGGAGAGGGAGGGTTGTGGAGGAAGGGGAGGGTTGTGGAGGAGAAGGAGGGTTGTGGATGAATTTCCAAACTTACCCTCACTTTTGACAGAAAATTTAACAGAGTTTGACGGAATGACCAATGGTGCAACACAATAGCAAATTGAGTAACCTTTGCAACTAATAATTGAATTCAATGAACCAAATGCAATTACGGGTATAATTGAGGGACCATTACTACGAATAACCCTATTGAAAGGCTTGTCAACTTGTTATTGGTTACCCTCTAATCAGTATATCTTAGTTTGCTTTTAGTTCTCACTTGTCATAATACGAGCTTGATTTGATATAATTTGGAAAGTTGCCATCACATCTTTTCATTTGACAAATTATATATAGAAAAGGGTGGTGATTTTTCCACTATCTTTTTATCCACTTACACTCCCTTTTGTTTTTTTTTAAATAATTTTTACTATAACAAAAAAAAAGAGTGTAAGTGGACAAAAGATGAGTGAGAACATACAATTTCTAACAAAGAGAGTGTAAGTGGATAAAAGAAGAGTAGAGAAATCTGCTCTCATAGAAAATCATAAATCCAAAATTGATGCCATAATATATATTATATTTGCATGGCCTTTTATGTATAATTTATAGAAAGAAAAAAAACGAGGAGAAAAAAAGAAGAAAAGGATATTGGAAGAATGATTAGTGAAAAAGATTGGAGGCCGGCCAAATGCGATGAATTGAATGATAAGGTTTGTGAAGAAGAGCAATACAATTTGCAAAGCAATCATGGAAAGGGACGACGATGGGAAAAATATCATTGTCAAAATGTCTGGCAGTCAGTCATCCATCATCATTAGAATCATTACATGCATCATAATAAAACATAACCCGACTGACTTGGCCTCCAAAATGTACAAGTTGCCAGACACACCGCAAACATTGTTCATGCTTCATGCTTAATAAGTCTCATCATCTTCAACACAAGGAAAAACAAACCGAAAATGCATCCATGGTCATCAACTTATTATCATAGGCGACCAGTGTTCAGTGTTTGGGAGTGCTTTTCAGTGCGCTTAGTAGAAACTTTTAAAAGTGCTTATGGGTCATAAAACCGCTTTTTGAAGAAACACTTGCTATGACTTCTTCCAAAAATATTTGAATGAAGCGCTTGAACTTTTTACAAAATTTCAACATTTTTCTAGTAAGAGCGCTTATCTGAATAAGTGTTTCCTATAGAAGCAATCCCATGATGAGCCCTTAGCAAGAAAGATTGGAGGGTCTCGCCGAGGATGTTCCATGGCTTCTGCCCGGTCAAGAGGGGGCGAAAACAATCATCATCTTTGTATTCTTGAACCACGCCAATTGCAAATCAAGAGCTCCATTGGCCATCACTGTGTATCCACTGTATTGCAGTCTCAAAATTTGATACCTCAATTTTATTCATTGTTCAAAATTTATTTTAACATCAATTCTTTATTTTTTCCTGTTAATTTTTTACTTATGAATATTTTTAACCTAAAAAAAATTCAAATTTTATTTCATACACATAAACAGGAAACACACAAATTAGAACAACATTCGAGTACAACATAAGAGAAATAAAATGGTCATACCATCACTAACAAGTTTCTCCACCTAACCCAGATATAATTTCAATCTCCAGTGCAGAACATTTTAGTCTTGACCAAATCAGCTGGCTGGAGTACAACAAGCTGAAGAACGCTTGAAGCAAAAGTAGGCCACTATAAAAGTGCGAAGTCCTGCAAAAAAAATCCGAAACTTTTGCAGCATATGTAGAAATAATCAATTCTTTGAGTAAAGTAGCAAACTGGTAAGCAGATGAGGTTCTTGGAGCATGGTTCAATTCTACATGATTGAGGACTCGAAGTTTACATGTAACCTATCTACCAGTGGAGGATTAACCATCGTTTTCATAACTGGCATATGTTGCTTATTAGAACCCTGCACCTGGCCATGGCAAATTGCTTTCCAGCCAGAATTTTTCCTGCCTGATAAAATTTCAGTTTTTCTCTTTTAGTCTCAGAAAAGAAAGGAAAAAGAAAAGAATTCAATCCCAAATGAAAAACTTACATACTTTTAGTAGCAAGTTTAACCCTTACAATAATAAGCTGGAAGCAATTAAATTATGGGAAATATGGGAGAGGAAATCGAAACTTGAGAAATGCTACAAAAACTTTGCTTAAGATCAATAAACTCACATAAGAGGCTAAGGTTAACATCATGATTTATATTCAATGAGAAACATGCCAAATACTATTCTAAATTTAAAGAATACCTCTGACGGTATGTCAACAACAACTACTTCTTTGTCTGCTATCACAGCATTTCAATCTTTTTGAATCTTGAAGTGAAACCCAAACACGACCTTTTGGCAAAAGCTGATCTTTCTCACTGAAGTGATTCACTAAGTCATTGACCATCTTTGAGGCAAAACATCTAAACCAATACAGTTATGAAGTATGTAACAATTTCATTACCAAACCCTCAAGGACGCTGTACAACCTAGAGATATGTATAGAGGAAGATAGGAAAAAGCCAGGCAAATTCATTGAAAAGAAGGTGCACCTTCATAAAATCCCACATTAAAAATTGATATTGATTTACTCTTTAGGTCTTCTTCACTTTCACTGTTACCAAATCATATAGATGGTGCTTTCATAGAGTAACTCCTCTATTGTAGTACAGAATGTTATAACTAGTTTTAGTGATCAATAGAAAAACTAGTACTAAGAGAAGGGAGGTAGAAGGAGATCATTTTCTAACCAGAAACATGTATTTCTCATTCTAGGATGCGGTAATGAGTTTTCCTTGATGAGCGAGGGAAAAGAGACTGTTAAATAAGTGTTCAATGGCTGATACTTCTTTAAGTCATCACTGGACTACCTTAGGACGTATACTTGACTCTTGGTCACAGAAGAAATCATTTTGGTAAATAGATGTAAAACTCATGGACTGTATCAGGCATGGACAAAAGACGAAATCAACTTGATGTTCTATGAATGTTTTATGGCATCTCAAGAACCGGACAACAAATATAAATGAGGTAAATGCTATATGCCCTAATATGGAAAGCAGCAAAGTAAGGTGCATTAACTCCACAATCAACAAGAAAATCAGGTCTTATAATAACAGAGTGAGCAATTCACAAGTCAGATGCCAGAACATCAAAGATCAAATAAATAAACTGAGGGCCCACTGTCTTGGCCTTTGAGTCTAAATATGGGAAGTGTTTACCTTTTGTTCCAAAGGACGGTGAACTGGAAGTCATCGATGTTCAGAGTTTGGCAGTGCAAGTCTTGTCCTCCTGGTCTATGATTACATATAAGAACAGTAAAACAAATGAAAAAATAGCTCTCAATCATTTTTGATAGATGTGAATCTTACACATTGCAACCAAGAATTTAATAGACTGACATTTAAAGATGAGGACAATTTGTCAAATGAAATTTGACACAAAAGTATGCCGTTTCACTAATAAAAGACTTTTGAAAAGATACGTGCTGCAACCCAAGTTGGATATTGAGGTGGCTATTTCATTTTGATGCATTTTGACCCAAAGTAGTAGACACCAAAATCATACATCAAAAAAGTAAAAATTAGATACCTATTAATGATTCAGACATCATAACCTAAGAAGAATGAAGAAGAAAAAAATTATCAAAATCCTTTTTGAATTTTGAGTGATTAGATTTGTTACCTTGTCACATTTCTGCCATCCTAAAAGGCATTAGCATTAAGTTCTTAAAGCAAAAGTATAATTTAATAGAAAGAGGACCTCTAGAACTAGATGTCAAATTCCCATACAAAGCCAATTGAAAAATGTAGTCCTGATCTTCACCTCCATGTCCAAGGTGTTTCAAGAAGTCAAATTTAACATACCAGGGTGCAGCTTACGTTATGGGACAACAAAAAATCCCATTGCACTTTATATTTATTTCTTCTTCCAAACTTACAGGGTTGGGGTGGCAAATATAGATTAAAATGATCTTATTGTAACACTTTTCAAATAATCCAATGAAAAATACTGAGAAAATTGGTGTCTGGTAAAAGAACGCTTCACCTAGCTATTAGTTTTGGACTTGTGATAACAAAATCCAAAAAAGTATCAGATTAAAGAACTAGCAGCTGATGATTTCAAAAGCTAGTAGTAGATATACATACCAACATATAAAGCACCTAGAAGACATAAAAACTAGAAGTAGTATCTATAAGACTTACACATATGAACTGCTCTTTGGCACATAGAAAGGCCCCTGTTCCATGGCAAAACACCAGAAACTATCATCAATACATCCCTTGAAAGAGGACAACACTGAAATTCCATGGAAAGTTCAATTCTTGGAAATAAGGAGACATGACTGTGTTCTTATTGATAACCAGATGCCATACAACACATTTGACTATCTTTTTACAGGATGAATTGAAAAATGCTTTTAACAGCAGTCGGAACTTCATACATGGTTGGCATACACAGCCATATGAAGAAAAAAGCTGAAACCTTCTGCAAACGTCAGTATCACAATGAGGAACCTTGCATCATTTTGATCTATTTCCCCAGGGAAACAGCTTTTTGTTTATCTCAACCTTCTCCTTCTACGTTCAGATGAATGTCCATTGTTTACGTCAGAACCTCTTGGATTAGTTCTTCTCCGAGAAGAAGAAGAGGGCAATGTAGAATTTATTTCTGAATCCGTTGTCTGGTCTTCCAAGTCCACAACAACAGTATCAGTTCTTAAAAAAGAATCAGAAGGGAGCACATCAGAATTGATTTCAGTAGCAGTATCAGAAGTCTGGCTATCTGGGTGTAAAACTGCAGCGATGCTTGAAGACGTATCTCCATTACCAATATGTGGAGATTGTTGGTGGTTTCTTCTCACATGGTGACTACTACTGTATGCCTCGAGGTCCTCGACTAATCTTTCTGCAGAATTCATTGCAGTATTCAATGCTGAAGAAAAGGAAGATACTGAAGCAGCTCCTTGTAATAATCTTGAAACTTGAAGGGAATCATGCTGTGGGTGACTTGTTGTCTCAGTGGCAGGTGATGCCTGGGATCTGGGCACGAAAGTAGTTCTTTCAGCCATGATATGTGAACCGAGAAGATCCTGTGACCGTCTTCTCTCCCCCATTGCACCAACTATGTCGCTAATTTGCTGAATCCTTTCTTCAATCAAAATAGAAGATGGTCCTCGACTAATAAGCTGTTGCCTAAAACCATCAATCCTGTTTGCACGGGGCCTAGGAGGGGCCATCGGAACAGACTCCTTTGACTTGCGAGAACAGTTACCATCCCCGTTCCCATAAATTGGGATTAGACTTTTATCAGTAACTTCTCCTTTACACTCAGGGCATTCCTTTGCATATGAATCCACATATGGCAACTGACAGAAGCATGGCCAACAAAACAAATGACCACAACATGTCAATATAGGATCTCTTGCCATGTCCAAGCATATCTTACAATCAAAGAAGCTCCCAGAACGAGACTCTGCCTTTTTAGCATTCGTCTCCATCCCCAGTGCCTTGGCTACCAAATGCATTTTGTCACCTCTATTGGTTTTGCCAGATTCCACTGTTTCTCGGGTAGCTAGAGCATCGTTCCCATTCTGAATGCCTTCATTTAGTGCATCAGAAGCTCCAACTCCTGCAGTGATATTCACCATCTGAGGGGAAGCATGAGGTTGTCGCCACCTATCACGCTGCCTAGCCCTGAAGGTGACTGCTTCTAGTAGTCTGATGCGTTCTTCAATGCGTCCATTGGCAGTTTCAAGCTCATTGAGTATGGATTCTAATCTGATCACTGAATCACGAGGCTCCTGGTTCCAATCCAAAATCATGATTTCTTCCCTCATATTATTCCCCATTAATGTTTTTCACCAATTCTTTCTCTTTATGGTCAAGAACCCAATTCACAATCCGGGAAAATTTTGATACCCACTACAGCAAATCAGCAACACGGTTACTTTCCTGCCATATATACAAAAACAGTATCCTTGAATTTCGATGGGTATGCTTCATCGTTTCATTACAACTAAAATAAATTAAACTCACATTTTTTTCATACATTACAAGTAATTTCCTTTGAAAAATGAATACTCAAGCATAAATGATTTTCTATTTTATTCTTTCATTCAGGAATAATATAAGCCCGAGAAAGGTTACGCAAGCAATGAATCAAGAAATACCCAAAACGGAAAATGTCTATTTCATGTATAATCAGATTTACGTACCTTTTAACATCGTATATCTTTGTTCGACAGAGATAACAACTATGGCAGACAAAATAAAATGAGAAAGAAAATAATTGAATAAACCTTGTGTACCAAAACAAAATGTTTAGGATCGGCAAAGGTGGTTCTCTATTTTCTTCTTCTTCTCTGTTGTGAGAGACAGGCGCCAAGGGCAGATAAGCGACTGGGAAAATAATACTGCCTTGGAGCCAAGCCAGTTCATACGACGCCGTACCTTAATAACTGTCTTCACATGCCGTTGTGTTCTATCAGGCCCGCGGGCTTCGGCCCGGACTGATTTAAGCCCGTCACTTCACCTGGTTCAAGCCTTGACTTTGAGCCCAAAAAAGGGGCGCAGTCCATGGACCGGCTGGTAATTCCTCAAACCTTTCTTTTTTCATTTTTCGTCCAACTTTTAAGTTTGGGTACACTGCCGTTTTTCCCCTTCAATTATTACTCTAGTTTGGATTTATCTTCCAAATTATTTTTTAACTTCAACCAATTTAAGGAATTAAACTTTATAAAAATAGCCAATGTCGCCATTGTTGTCAACTTTTTTGAATTCCATCAAATTTTCCGTAAAAATATAGGATTAACTACAGTAAACTTCCCAAACTATGAGGGTCATTACAAAATCATACTCAATGTTTATTGATCCATTTGACCGGTACACAAATTTCACAGAACTTTTCAAAATACACCATATGTTAGTTAAACCGTTAATAAGTCTGTTAAATTCTGACTTGGCAAACGTGGGTCCCATTTTTTTGCTCACGTGGCCTCCATGTAGAGAAAAAGAAAAGAAAACCTACGCAAACCCTCAATCTTCACGAACCCAGCCACCAATTGCCTCCCAACCACCTAGCACCAACCCGATGTCCTTTACCCCTTCTCTGCGACGAACCTCCCCCATTCACCAGCCTCATATTTGATGCACCTCATCTCATGTCTTTTTCTGTGGAAAAATTATAGGAAGTGGAATCCAAAACTCAGAAATGGAAATTCCCAAATTGGAGAGAGAGAGAGAGAGAATTTTTGTAGTTCCAACAACTCAAACTCGTTAAGTCGATTCCTGGTAAAGGTGAGTTTCACCAGCTCAACACCGATATTGTCGTCTTTCAAGCATCGCAACCCAACAAATGTGTGCTCGTCTATGAGCGAGGTGGATGGCTCACCTAGTCCGGCGATCCGTCATCTATTTCACCTTCTGTGAGCTCAACTAAAAATGGCCATTTTAGCTCTCACCACCCCCAGCCTTCCTCTCTCTATCTCTCCGTCTTTGTCTCAAACCCAAATTTGGGGATTTGAAATCTGGGTTTAGAATCAAACCCAAATTGGGAATTCACAAATGCTCAAATGAATTTTCTTGCTTCATGAAAGTTGTTCATCTGGATGTTTCCTACAACATATCAAAAATGTGCAGCATTTCAGTAAGTATTGAATCCTCTGAGAAGAAAACACCAGATAAAAGTAGTAGTATCAACATTAAGCCTAGTCTGATGAAGACTTCCAATACTCCAATGAACTTTCTTTCTTCATGGAAGTTGTTCATTGGAGTGTCTACTGTTTTGTATCCAAATTGGGTTTCATTTGGACAAGAGTGGAATACTCAACGAATTAAACAATGAAGTTTGTTTGAAGGAACTGTCTATGACGACCAGTCATTTTGAGCCATGCCAAATCGTATTTTCCAGTGCTCACATGCATTCGATTCTTCACAAAAGTTGTTCCTTCATATGTGTAGCATTTGGATGAATTTATCCTGCTCGAGTTGTCACACATCAAAGTAGGTTCGGAGAAGAAGCTAAATGGCATGCTGGCAAACTTTTGTTAATCAATGGAGGTGCGTGAGTCAGCATGGAGGCCTGGGCTTATTAAAAAAAATGAATGATACAATAAGCTTGCTGATGGAGGGGAACAAGTTTTGCTTGGAAGATATTTTGAATTATCTAGGGAGCTTCACATACGGAACAACACCAAAGCAACTTTTTTGGTTTTGCTTGCTTTTTTAGCAACCCACGCACCAAAATCAATGAAAAGTATGTACTTCTCATTAGATGCTGGTCCCAACACTCAACCGACCTCATTTTCTTTATAAATAGAAAGAGAAGTCATCAGCTCAACACACACAACTATCTCAAACAGACTCAACGTCTTCAACAACTTGAAAACCTCAAGCTTGAAACAACTTGCTTTTCCTTCAAGATCACGAGTTGAAAACTCCAAATTATTATCTTTTTATTTTATGCTTTGCCAACACTTGGTATTGATACCCAGTAGTTAGGCCAAATCCTTTAGTTTTTCTGTACCAAGTCTGAATAGAGAAATCTTCAGACTATGTTGTTTACTTTTATATTCCAATATTTATATGAATAGAGAAATCTTCATATAAATATTCATTATTTTCATTACTGTCGTTTACTTTTCAACTCTATAGCTACAATGAACTAAGTAGAGAAATCCTCAGTTTAGGGTAGCTATAGCCTATATGTTATTTACTTTGAGTTTGCATCGATATTGAACTAAATTGAGAAATATTCAGTTCCATATCATGTTTCTCATTTTCATTTATGTTATTTTTATTTTCTACTTGTTCTTATCTTCGCACTAGAAAAATATTGAAGTCTTCTTCATTGAGGCATAGAAAAGAACCTATATTGGGTCAGTCACTGCCCAATTCACAATCGATTGATGATTAGAGTTGATATTGGAATGTATTTTACATTTTTCAATCACTTTCTGTTGGAGCTTTTACTGCCAACAGTGGCACGCCTACGCAAGAAAGACGAAAACAATCTTGCGGCCAACACTGGGCTGCCGCAAATGAATTTTCTGGGGTAGAAGAAACAATTTCTATACTAAGTTGAAAATAAAAGGATAAATAAAATAAATAAATAAAATCAACAATGAACACAACCCGAAGGAATATCAATAAAGCAACCAAAATTTTCAGCAATCAATTCTGAAGCACGAAAGATGAACTTCAATAAATAAGGATTTCTGTAGATATGTCACATGAATTTATACCTCAGTTTCAATTTGTCACCTGTAAGAAAAATTTAACAGAAATGCCACCTTAATTTTTCAAAATCTATGATGATGATGATTGATGAAGAAAAAGAGAGAAATTGAGGATAGCTTATCATGTTCCTCTGAAGAAATTATTTCAATATTATTCTTTAATTTCGTAGAATTTTTGCTACATAGAGAACATTAAAGAATAGGTAGAGGACAAGACGACTACGAGTATTGAGAGCTTATGAAAGTTCGTATTTTGGCTGAGCAAGATTTGGATGTAAGCAGAGATGATCTTGCTTTTGGTCAAAACATTAAAATCAAATTCACACTTACTGAAATGTATAATACATGGAGTAATTTTTTCCCTGTACGTGTTTACTTCTTTCCTTTTTCTTTGTTGTCTATGCAAATGTGCTATAAGAAGAAAATTTTGTGCCCCTTATCCAAATGGGCCCTAGGCTGTCGCCATTGTCTGGGCCATGGCGGACCCTGATTAGCTATATAAACCCTAATAGAATGAAATTATGATAGAAGCTTGCACGACAAGAAACTAACTAATTTGTGTCTTTCAAAATGAAATGATTAGTTACTAAGCAAAGAAAATGCCAGAGTTAGGTTTCAGTTCTTGGGGAGGGCCAACAATACAAATTTATTACTTAAGAGGTGACCGATACAAGTTTAATAATTGCGGATCGATGCCAATAATATAAATTTTTTTCAATATGTTTCCAACAATTACAGAAGTTTAATATAAATTTTACACGAAATGCTGGAGTTAGGAGCCCCACAATGACTTTGGGCCAGTGTGGCTCTACCCATGTGCAAAGATGTAAGCTAAGAAGGATCATGGTTGTTTATTCCTGCAAAACAAATTACGTTGATAATATTCTCAAAAGGAGCTGAAACCAGTGAAATCTCCTAATCCTCCTGCGCCACTGAAGAAGTCAGTGGATCCGAATGACGAAGGATCAATATTACCATTACTGCTTCCAAAATAATCAGTACTAAAACCAACACCGAAATCATTGCCACCACCAGACCCACCGCCAAGTCCACCACCAGAGAGGATTTGTTGAATCAGCTGCTCCTGAATATTGCCTAAACCCTGATTAGAGGAACCGCCAAATCGTCCAAATCCAGCAAGACTTTGAAGTGCTTGGTTCATCATCATAGCATTTCCCAGCTGCCCACTTCCGCGTATATTATTATTCACAGGCCAAACACCACCAGGCATGCCATTGTAATTAACATTCGGTACATAGTTTCGGAACTGAGGAGGGCTAGCTGTTGGGAAATATTGAGTTCCAGCAGCAGCTTCAGTTTGTTGAACTGGAGGAGGAGGAGGAGGAGCTCTCAGTGTTGCTGTGGCGCAGCCCAAGTGCGCCGTAAAACCACAGGGACTGCACAAGTAGAGCCACTCTTTGCACCCCACTCGCTTGCATATATCGCATATAAAGGTGTGGTTAGAACCTGCAGGAAGTGAGAATTAGAGACCGAGTTGGTGATGGTGGGATTGGTGAGTGAGAAGCAATGGCATTGAAGCACAACTCGTATGGAGGTCGATGTTGCAATCTCCACAATGGTAGGCAAACCCATTTCCATGCTTCACGCATGCATCGCAGTTGAAGGCCCCATCTGGGTATTTTGGGGTTGGGAGCAGAGACAGCACATGGTCTTTACGATCAAATGGATGAGTGATTTGCTGAGGCATTTCTGAACATGACATGTGCAGGAAGTAGTTGCATGGTTTGCAACTGTAAATCCATCCAGAAACATTGAGTTTGCAGCATGCACACAAGGCTTGCGGGTTTAAGTTCTGCTGCTGGGCTTGGTGATTGGTTAGTTTTAATGGATGGGGGTGGTTAAAATGTTGAACATCAGGCTTTGGTTGACCATTCAGCTTCATCTCTCTCTCTCTCTCTCTCTCTCTCTCTCTCTCTCTCCCACAGAAATATTTTCTCTTTCTGAAATTCTAATGATGTCTTCTCTATCAACTTGTTTAACACTTGTCCTCTTATAATAGTTTAGTGCAGTTCTGTACAATGTATAAGTCTTAGCTAAGCCTAGTCATCTTAACAATAATGAGACGCATTTACCGGGTCAAAGTATATATCTTTGCGTTTTTTTGTTATATATACACGTTGCATTTTATATATGAACAAAAAGGGAAAGACTGATTGGAAGGAAGCTGCTGGTTATATATATTGAAGTCAATGAACCTCTCAAGGAAGCAAAAGACTGAATACTTTCCCCGTTTTGATCATCTCAAGAGTTGTTGCTTCTATTTTTCTCAAATGGAATGCAAAGAAAAGAAGACTGAGATCTTAATTATGTGAAGCAGAAGAAGCAACCCTTTTGAAGAATATTTTGCCAACTTATGTATATGAAGTAGCAGCTATGCTTGATTCCATCAGACTTGCTTAATTAGAATATTTGGATTGTAGCTTATGAGTATCATTGACATTCTTCTGACCTAAACCACCCTCTAATTTATTGTGGGATAAAAATACGAAATCAGTTCATGCATCCATTAATTAGTTACACAGTACACTCACTGCCGGCCTAGACTTCTTTTTATCTTTTGTTCAAGGGAGATCTCCCTAGAGGGCGACATAAACCTCTTTGGTGTGAATATAATTATTAACTTTCTAGGAGATGACCTTGGCGTCGAAAGTACTTTTTTTTAATAGTTATTTACACGAAGATCTCTTGAGGTTTTATATTGTTTTCACAAAAGTCCTTTTTCATTGATTGTTCATCCAAAAATTGACGATTTCATTAAAAAAAATTATGCAAATGACAATTTTAACCTCAATGAATGCATGTGCAATTTAATCTCAAAGGCTAACATTGTCATTTGGAGAATTTATTATTATATAAAATCATTCATTTTTGGATGAAAAATAAAATGAAATGGATTTTGTGAAAACAATTTAAATCTCAGGGGGTGTTCATGTAATGTTTGAAACCTTAGATAGTTTTATGAAACTGAAAACCTCAGGAGTGTTAGTGTAAATAACCCTTTTTACTATTCACTCTTCTTTCTATTATTTCCTTGTCATTGACTACAAATTTAATTGGAAAAAGAAACGCTACAAAATTAATTACTACAACAGCTGCCAATTTGAAATTTCTATTCTAAAGAAAACTTTGTCAAAGAAAGGAAATGGAAAAAGAAATCAGTAAAACTAATCTACCACATCAATGCCATTATAAGGAAGAATGACCATCTAGCATAAAATATACATAAATAGGTGATCATCACCCAGCTACCCAAAAGGGGCAAGGGAATTTCAAATGTTTAGTTTTTAGTTGAAGTATTCAATGTAGTTATTACTCTACTCAACAATTTAGTCATGGAAAATTTTGGAAACATGCTCCCATTGTTCACACAGTGCGGTTAAAAAGAAAGAGCCTGCATATATGCACAATTAATCTGATCAGGGAAACATCATGAGATCAAAGTTGAAGCAAAATCAAAAGTAAACTGGTAACATATATATCAAAACACCTATTGTATGCCATATCCCGATGTAAACCCAATATAGCGTATTGAAATGGAGACAAACAATCATGTTTATTTCTGCAAGAAAAATACAGAATTAATATCTCAAATCAAATGTATACGGTATAATCGTATCTCCCACTCCTCCAGTTCCACCGAAATAGTCAGCCTCAGTGTAGGTGGATCCGAATGGCGAAGGATCAGTAGTGGCATTAGTACTGCTTCCAAAATCAATACTAATACCAACTCCTTGCATATCATTGCCACCTGCAGATATAAACCCAACAGGCCAAACACCACCACCCACCAATTGCTGTTGCTGTTGTTGTTGCCGCTGCTGTTGGTATTGCTGTCTCTGTTGGTATTGTTGTCGCTGTGGTTGTTGTTGTGGATGTTTCTGCTGCTGCTGCTGTTGGTATTGCTGTTGCTGTGGTTGTTGTTGTGGCTGTTGCTGTTGCTGTTGAGAGGAATTACCACCCAGTCCAAAAATAGGGACACCAATAAGAACTTGAGCTGCTGTGTTCACGATAGCCTTTCCCAGCTCCTTCCCTGACTTATTCCGCCTAACAGGTTGTCCACAAACACCAGCGGTAGGGATATTGCCATTATTATAATTATTATTATTAAAACTATTATTTGGCACATAGTTTTGGAACTGATGAGGAGTAGCTGAAATAGTACTTGTTGGAAAACATGGAGTTCCAACAAAAGCTGCTTGTGCTGCTGCTTGAATTTGTTGATTTGAGGGAGGAGGAGCTCTTGGTTTCTCCGTGGCGCAGCCCAAATGAGCAGTGAAACCACAGGGACTGCACATGTAGAGCCACTCTTTGTACCCAACTTGGTTGCATATATTACATATGAAGGTCTTCCTGTTGTTAAATCCTGGAGGAAGTGAGAAAGAGAGACTGAGCTGGTGAGGGTGGGATTGGTGAGTGAGAACCAATGGCTTTGAAGCACAAGATGGGTGGAGGTCAATGCCGCAAGCTCCACAATGGTAGGCAAAGCCATTCCCATGCTTCATGCATGCATCGCAACTGAAGACCCCATCTGGGTATGTTGGGGTTGGGATCAGAATCAGGACATGGCTTTGATGATCATATGGATGAGTGATTTGCTGAGGCATTTGTGAGCATGGTATGTGGAGGAAGTAATTGCATGGTGTGCAACTATAAATCCATCCACCAGAGACATTGAGTTTGCAGCATGCACATGAGGCTAGCTGCTGCTGCTGCTGCTGCAGGTTTAGGGTTTGCTGCTGGGGTTGGTGATTGTAAAGTCTTAAGGGATGGGGGTGGCTAAAATGTTGAAGATCAGGCTGAAGTTGACCATTCAGCTTCATCTCTCTCTCTCTCACCCACAGAAATTCTTTTTTCTGATGATCTCTTGTTCTCTCTCAAGTCTCAACTGGTATTAGATTGTGCTCTTATAATAATTTCATGCAATTCTGTGCATCATATTGAGTCTAGCTAGCCTTAGTCAACTTAACCATAATGAGACATATTGCCGGGTCAATATATATGTATATAGCATTTATATAACCAATGATATCGGTGGTGAAACATCTTTTTCAATGAATTATTAATTAATTCTAGATTACTACTTGGAAGCAAGTTGCTGGCAGGGTGGCTATGTCTTGATATATGCAAAGACTCCAAAAGTCAATCCTTCCCCGTTTGATCATCAGCAGGGTTGTTGCTGCTGCTATTTTTCCCAGTGGAACAAGAAGGGTATATATGCAAAGAAAAGAGGAGTAAGGTAATCAAATAAGTTTACTTAAGCTAACAAGTACGCTAAAAATTAAATATATACGTGACGCAAAGCAACCTCATGTTGAAGAATATTTTGCCACCTTTAAAGTACGTTATATTATCCTTGCCTCGCAAATGACCTATTAGTGTAGTGGTTTGGAGGAAACAAATGTTTCCCTCAAGAATGGTCTTGAGTTTGAGTCCTAGCATCCATATAATGTGTGCAAGTTTAATATGTTATTGCTCTTCTCAATGAGAAAAGATTCTAAAAATATATATATTATCCTTACCTCGTGATTAATCCACCTAAACAATATCTATATTTTCTTATTTCTCAGTTACTCACTAGCTTACTTGAACCCATCAAATCAAACCTACATGTTTAGAATCTTTAGATATTATCCTTATATTTTGTCATTCGAGGGAGAGGCAAAGGGCGACAGAGACAGAGTGTTTCGAATATTTTGTCAATAATAGATGGCACCCAGAGAGATTTTTATTTATTTTTGGTCGAAGCACCCAAAGAGATATATAGCAACCAAGTCACAGACCTTTTTTACCTTTAGCTAAAGATGAGATGTGTGTCTTTTGAGTTCATTATGCCCTGTGCTTATTTAATATTATTATACAGAAGCTGGTAGAAGGATACGTTCGAAGTGTATTAACCAAATTGCAAAATGCAGTTGACGTCGACCTTCTGTGGCAATATAGGGAATAATAATGATCACCCAACTAGCTAGAAAATAAGAAAGAGTGATTTGCATACCTAAAATAATTAATATTTGCACTCTGATATTGACTTTAATTAGTAGGAGACAGATAGTCTGAGAAATTTATAAACTATAAAATCAGCTAACTGTTGGTCTAGTGATATTTCCTTTTTTCAAAATACTATTGACAGAAGTCTCAAGTTCGAATTCTCTCATCCGTTAATTTAAAAAAATTCAACCATATAATTTATTTTGATACACTAATATCTAATTTAAGTTGGAAAAATACCAAGTAAAAGCAACCTGAAAGACATGAGAAAACCAATTCGGTTTTTTTTTTTTTTTTTTTTTTGTTTTTTTTTTTTTTTTTTTTTGTTTAAAGCAGTTGACATTTGTCATATCCTATGCTCAACCACTTCATCCTATATCAAAGATTCGAGGGATTGGGTTATGTATTGCTACTTCAATATAGGAAAATATACCCTTGTAATTAAAGGGCTGCACCTGTGTTTTTTGGGTATCAAGATAAATCCTCTCATGCTCCTAAAAAACCCAGCACTAATTAATACCTTACTAATTACAAGGGAAGAAGCATGGGGAAAGGGCTAACAAAAGTCAAAGGAATCATATGTAATATTATGTATATATAGTGTAGTGATAAATTTCAAGCATTATTGGTGGATCCAAGACCCAGTCAAAATATATCGAGATGGGAATAAGTTGACTTTTACCATACATTTCAGACCACTTATCTGACCACATTTTAGTCGTCACCACGATGCGAACATAACTAGACTAGCTACATCTTCCTCTCTCAAAAATCATATAATGTATACTGGTGATTTGCTCGATGAATTTGTACATACCTTTTAATTAATTTCTTATCCTTTTTTATTAGAAAACTAAGGATATGAACTTTTTTTTTCCTCCAATTTCTCCTTACTGTCTAAATCCTCAACATTTCATCCAATTTTCAGTTAAATCATTTTAAAAAAATTGAAGAAAAAGAGGAAATTGACCACCACACAAAAAAAAGGAAAAAAAAAGATAAAGCAAAAAAGACACTAAAGAAAAAAAAATCTAGAGAATCCAGTCCCAATTCTAAAAATAAACATCACGACCTTATTGAACATACTGAAAAGGCAGCTTTCTAAGAAGGAACTAAAGAAAAAGGGGTTTGAAGAACTTGAAGTTGTTCTTGCAGAGCTAGGATACGGTGCCAAAAGCGAGACCGGTACCCTCCGCCCACTAGACTTAGTTCGCCATGGCCTACTATGTCATCAACTACTCCAATCAAACCCTAACCTTCCTCCAATTGAAGCCTTAGATTCTCAACCCCCTACTTTCTCTAATCTGTCTATTGAAATTGTACCCCCCCCAATTCTCCCACGACCACCCCTTACCCCAACCACCCCTCCCCCACAAACCCAAAAACTCCTTTTGATTTCTTATCCACCCCGCGCCTGTCCCAACCACAAACTCCAGTCCCTACCTACCAACCCCAACCTCTCCAACCACTCAATCGTTATCCTCCAAGCCACTGCCAAATGACGACCCTCATCCCCATGCAAGCTTGCAGAGAGAGAGAGAGAGAGTATTTCAATTATGTTTTTTTTATAAATATTTTATTTTATTTTATATTTTTTAATGTACAAAATGACCATTTTGTCCTCATTTTTAACAGCAAATTAGATGACATGTTGTGGATTTAGACGGAGAGGGGGAAATTTGCAAAATAAAAGAAGTTCATATCCTTAATTTTGTTTAAAAAAAAGCTAGGAAGTAAATCGAAAGTTAAGTATAAATTCAGGGGGCAAATCACCAGTATATACCCTAATACATAATAATATATGATTCATTAGAAGATCATCCAATTGGAGAAAAAGAAAGAAAGCCAACGGAGAGAGAGAGATCCTAGCTTAATTAGGATATTTATTTCCTAGTTTATTATGACTGTATTTTTTTCTTTTGTACAGATATTGTGTAATTAGGATTTTATCTTGTTTCATAGTTTGACCCTACTAGGGTTACATCCTTATATTATAAATACCTCCTTTTGGATAATGAAATACAACCTGAAAATATTCTACCCATATTATTTGACTTGGCATCAGAGCCAACTTTTCTAGTGACCTATGTGTTGTGCTCACCCGTGTTTTAGCCTCATATTTTTTTTCTCCTTTGCCGTGTGTGCCCTCCTGGGTTTGTGTGTTGTGTTGTAGTGTTCGTGCATTTACTATGTTCTTGTCATTCCTGTCTTCGTGGATTTGCCGTATTTGTGTATTTGCTGTGTTCCGTTGTGTACTTTGTCGTGTTCATGTCTCTACTGTCTTTGTTCATCTGCTGTATTTGTGCCTCTGTTGTGTTCCGTTGTATACTCTACGTGATTTGTTGAGTTTCTGCTGTAATTATGGATGGTAACTCCATTGTTGGTGTTGTTGCTGCTTCTTCTACAAAATTGAATGTTTCTGACTCTATTCCAGGAACTTGCTACAATACTTGGATAATTGACACTAGTATTTTTGATCATATGACTTATGATGCTAAATTTTTTGATGAGTTGTCTAGTAACACCCGTGACCCATACATAACTAGTGCTAATGGCTTGCCCTCTCTAATTACTAGTGAGGGCACAATCTCTCTCACTCCTACTTTGTATTTGTCTTGTGCGTTATTATTCCTAAAATCCATTGTAACTTGTTATCTGTTAGTCGATTACTTGTTACACTTAATACTTCTGCTACTTTCTATCATACACATTACTCTTTCAGGATCTCAAGACTCACGAGACGATTGGGCATGGTAAACGGATAGGGAGGTTATATTATTTGACATTGCCTTCTGCCCCAGTTCGTGATTGTGTCATTAATACTGTTCAAAGTTGCATGTCAAAGACAAACAGTAAATTTGGTTTATGGCATCGTCACTTGGGATACCCATCATTTGACTACCTTAAGCTATGTTTCCAACTTAATTTCGCTCTTGTGATGAGTCCAGTTTTAAGTGTGAGACATGTATTTTAGCCAAGAGCCATGGCATTGTGTTTCCTTTGAGTGATAATAAAGCTACAAAACCTTTTGATTTAGTGCATTCTGATGTGTGGGGTCCGGCTCGCGTTACTTCGAATGGATTTCATTGGTTCGTTGCATTTATTGATGATTGTACCTCCTCACTTGGGTTTTCTTGCTAAAAATAACATGGTGTTGCTTCTATCCTTCCAGAGTTTTGTACTATGACGTCTACTCAGTTTCATGCTCGGGTCAAAGTATTCCGAACTGATAATAGAGGCGAATATGTGAATAATACTTTGGCGTCTTTATTTCGTACTCAAGGTATTATTCACCAAACGACAACCATTTTTACTCTTCAACAAAATGGTGTGTCTGAAAGAAAAAACCGAATTGCTTGAAGTTGCCCGCTCACTCATATTGGATATGTCTGCTGCCTATTTTATTAATCGTACTCCTTGCCAGGTTCTTAATTTCAAGACTCAGCATGATGTGTTTGGTAACCATATTTCCCCTATCTCCGTCTCTAAGTTGCCCCTAAAGTTTTTGGGTGTATTGCCTATGTTCGTGTCTACTCTTATCAACGGAGTAAACTCGATCCTTGAGCTCTACGATGTGTCTTTATTGGTTACTCTTCTACTCAGAAGGGTTATAAGTGCTATCCTCCACCTACCCAGAATGTGTATGTTACTTTGGATGTGACTTTCCATGAAGAAGTGTCCTATTATGTCTCTCCCTCCTCTCCAATTCAGGGGAGAGGGGGAGTGAATTGAAGAGTCTGGATTGGAGAATCTTGTATTTGAATTTGAGAATGATGTGTTTGAAGATACTGCTCTCGGGAAGGAAACGATCAGTCGCACTGAAGCAAGGGATCGGTCGCCCATATTTGGAGATGAAACATTGGTCTCTGTGAAAAACGACTGGTCACCCATATCTAGAGATGAAGTAGGTGTTCTTGGTGTCGAAACGATCGGTCACCATTGAATCAAGTGACCATAATGATTCTTGTAACATATGAGGTTGATGCAATACCCCCATTTGTCCTGCAAGTACCCCAATCTACTCGTGATAATAAATCAAGTGAGGTACTTTCTAATGATCTACCTTTGTCAACTTATCAGTTACCCCCAAAACCACTCGTGGAAAGCTAAAGTACAATATTCTCCTTATATATGTGCCAAATCTAAATATCTTATTAGCCATTATATGTCAACTCATCGATTGTCAAGTCATATGCATTATATTGTGTCAATTATCTAGTGTATGTGTGTCAACTAAGCTGTATGATGCTTTATATATCCCCAAATAGATGGATGCCGTGAATGTTGAAATGGATGGCTTGAACAAGAATAAAATATGGGATTTAGTTCATTTGCCACGAGAGAGAAGAAAGCTATTGGATGCATACGGGTGTTTACTTTGAAGCATAAGGCTGATGGTTCTATTGACCGTTACAAGGCTAGTTGGTAGCAAAAGGTTATACTCAGACCTATGAAGTGGATTATTTGGAGACCTTTGCTCTAGTAGCAAAGCTCAATACTATGTGTGTATTATTGTCCCTAGCTGCTAATGCGACTGACCCTTATTGTAATTCGATGTCAAAAAGTGTTTCTACATGGTGACATTTAAGGAGGAGATTTATATGGATCTCCCTCATGGTGTTCCTGTAACCTCTAAGGAGGGTGTTGTGTGTGAGATGCGGAAATCCTTATATGGATTGAAGCAGTCTCCAAGAGCGTGGTTTGGGAGATTTGCAACATCTATGAAGAAATTGGATATGTGCATAGTAACTCAGACCATACTTTGTTTCTAAAGCGTCCATAAAGGTAAATTGAAACTTTAATATTTATGTTGATGATATAATTGTGACTGGAGATGATTAGGCAGAAATGCAAAATCTTCAAAAGTATTTGGCTTCCAAGTTTGAGATAAAGTCATTGGATGATTTGAAGTACTTTCTTGGGATTGAAGTTGCTAGATCTAAATATGGTATCTTTCTGTCTCAAAGAAAGTATATTTTGGATTTATTTGCAGAGACTGGAATGTTGGATTGTAAACCAATTGATACCCCTAGTGATATCAAGTCCCTAAAGATAAAGAGTGTATTAATGACTGTGGGGAAATTGATTTAGCTCATACAGGTCCTGATATTGCATATGTAGTTAGTGTAGTGAGTCAGTTTATACATTCTCCTAGTGAAGATCATATGGGTTAATCTTTTGCAAGTATGGTCATATAGATGTGGAAGGGTATACAGATGTTAATTTAGTTAGTTCAGTCACTGATAGACTTTCTATGTCTGGGTATTTCACATTTGTGGTAGTAATCTTGGTACTTGAGGAGTAAAAAGCAAAAAGTGGTGTTTAAGTCTAGTGTCGAGGCTAAATACGTGGGATGGCTCAAGGGTGTGCGAGTTACTATGGTTGAGAGATTGTTGAGAAATCTTGAGTTCGGACTAGGGGTGGGCACGGTACTGTACGTACGGTATGAGCTATACCGTTACCGATACCGGAAATTAAAACCGGTATGGTACGGTATGTGATTATCGTTTGCAAAGTTGGTACCATACCATACCGTGCCAAAATGGTACGGTCGGTGTCGGTACCATTGTGGTACCAAAATGACAACTAAAAAATGAACATATTCATTCACCAAATAGTGATGCTAAGTTACAGATTCAAAGATTAACATATTCAAATATCCAAATTTATTTCATATGGATACTCATTCAGTTTGGTACAATAGAGTTCTGCAGGATAAAACAGAGAAAATGCCTGATTTTCAGGTTATTGGTACTAAAAAAAAGAAGAGGGTGGTGTAAACTAAAGGTTGCTGACAGCAGTTAAAGAAAGAGAGAGGGGAGCGCTATAAAAACAGAGCCGACGTTTTTATACCGATGATTTCTTGCCCCTGAAATTGAGGAATGAAGTGACAGAGAGATTTGTTAAAGGACAAGGAAATTCTAGCTTAGTGGGGGATAGTGTACATAAATGCCAATGTTGTCAAAATATTCAAAGAAGGAAGAAACTTTTCTGTTGTGGTCAAAATAATGACCACAAAAAAAGATACTTCAATATTCGATACGATATTGACCGGTACCAAAAATATCAATATGCTACCATACATACTCTATTGGTACGGTATTGTACCATACCGAATATCTCCCCATCCTAAATGAACGGTATGAAATCAGGTATGGTACATATGGTTAATGTATGATTCGCGTATTTTCGCTTTTAAATGCCCAACCACTAGTTTGGACCCAATGAAACTCATGGATGTGTTTGTGCTGAGAAAGTTGCGCATTGGCAATGCGATAGCCTGGTACAACATGATCTACACAAGAGCACGGGGGGTGATCGATTATTTTGTATTAAGAAGTGTGATGTGAAAATTACTCTTTGCCCTGTCATTCGAGTTCTACTGGCAAATGTTTTACGATACGCTTCTGTGTATATCGGTCGTTCTCAACTCGTTGACCAAGTTGGGCAGGCTGTCACATATGTCAACGTGAGGGGGGAGTTTTGCAAGATTATATTTCCTAATTTATTAGGACTATATTTCTTTATTTTGTAAGATATGTTAATTAGGAATATAGCTTGTACGCTTGTTTCTGTGTGTGACCTTCAGCTGAGGGTTTACAGCTACATTTTTTTTTTTTTGACCAAAGCATGTGGAGAATGAAACAACCTGAAAATTATCTCTATTAAGGTTTGACAAAACTAAGATCGATGGTGAGCATTTTCCAGCCAGGCATGGTGGTGTGTACTATCCCCCAATTCAAGAGGATGATGAAATCTCTTGACTCCAGCTGTGAGCTCCTCTAGACCTCCATGAGGAATTCCGTATTCTGCTTACAAATGCACCAAGTCTCCAAGTGCAACTGTTACCTCCAAGACTTGTGCTTTGAACTTCTCAAGGAACCGAACAAGACAACTCTACCCCAACACCCTCTCTACTCTCTCCACCCCTCCCTATGAATATGGGAGTTCACGTGCGACTTGATGTGGTGAAGTCGGGCATGTTTCAGCCCCTTCCAGTCAGTGGTGCACTGGTGAAACTGAGCAATCATCATCCTCACCAACCGCTCACTCTGCTTTTCTTGAGATCATCATGAGAGTGAAGGCAAGATTAATATCTGTGGAGTGTGGGCAAGCACTTTCCTCACGGGGTGCTGGCTCTACTCTTGCAGAAGATGGTGATAGTGTGACCAGCTGGGGTGTTCAAACTGGAAGTGCATCAAGATACCCGGAAGATTCAAATAAAATTCATCAGATTCAATTTTAATCATTTTCTCCCCCAGTCTTTGCGTCTCTCTCTCTCTCTCTCGCGCTCTCTCTCTCGTCCCTTGTAACCTTTCCCCAATTTTCTGATACTCTTCGTGAGTGTGGGGATGTATGATATATAGGAGTGGAAAAGGTAGGCGAGAAGGAACACAGGGACATGTGGTTATTACACCACCTCCTGGCTGCCGTGATACAAAATCATGTGGTCTAGCCGATGAAGGCTTAAAAACAAGGCGAGAATATGAACCTACACTATATCACAAACACAACCAGCAGCACAGATTCTCTCTCCGGAGGAAGCAAAACCCAAAAAGGACAGGCGGCACTATATTTTAAAATTTTGAAGTGATTTGTGAAATTTACTGTATTATTGCATTGCATTGGGATTTTTAGGGAAAAAAAAATATTTATAGCATTGTTGCAGTGGTTTAAGTTTGGAAGTTTGGAGATATGGGAAAATATTTTTTTGTGCCTCCCTCTCTTGAAAAAAAAAGTCTCCCAAGTAGGTTTTTTATTAGAGTTTGAGTATTTATAGAGTTTTATATATTTTGGGCCCTATATAGGCTTTTCATGTTGAAAGGCCCTAAGTATAATATGTTGTTGTGCACATACATATGTGTTTTCAGTCTAGAGCAAGATGCTTATAGCGAGGGCCTTGTACACGACGTTGCGTAACTACTAGGGGTTATGATTTTAGTGTAGTTTAAAAAAATCGGAAATGTAGTCAATGAGGAGCTTAAAGGTGAGTAGGGTTTGAGGAACGTTCAAATTCCACCATAAACAAATGTAAAAATGAAGACTTAATATATTTTAAATGTTTCTGGAGGCGGACGGTACTCCTAAAATAACCTCCGCCTGTATATCCTCATTGTAGAAGCCCTTATAAGCCTACCATGATGTTTTTTTTTCTTATGCGGCCTCCAAACCTGTCTTATGGCTCACCAAACGTTTAATTATCAATCTGCAGGAGAAACGGGGTTTGTTAAGTAATTTCATCCATATTATACAGTCGGTCTGCACATAATCAAACAACTTTGTGTCTTCGGGTTCTAAAAAATCAAACAAATTAGTTTCTTATAGGACATCATTTCAAAACTCAGTTCAAACTTGTTGCCAGTCATGAGCACCACATTGGCGGTCTCTTTTTTTTTGTGGTCAAAACATTGTTTTAAACCAGGTGTGTGTCGTTCCTCCTTAAGATCAGCTGAGATATACGTATACACAAAAGGCAATGGAAAGGTTAAGTTCAAACCGTTATCATAAAATACCTGTACAGGATTCTAAAGTTGACAAAAAGCACAGAGAAAGAATTCTAAGTTCTTTTGAGGGAATAATTTTGAGCAAGCACGGGAGCTATTTCATGGGCCTAAATGAGGACCCATCCTTAAACTAATTTGGATTAAAACATCCGGGTTGTGGAGGGAGTGGTGCCCTTCCTCTGTCCACGCTCCGAGATACGTTGAGAGCTGTAAAACACTCGACTTGAATGTTGGTGAACCAGCATTCGTGTTGGAATTTCGGAAACGAAAGGGAACCAAGCCAAAGAATGCACTGGGGTGAAGAAGCAACACCAATGATTTTCATACCACGAGCAAGTGTTTGAATGACCCCCCAAATCCTGCTGTGGAATAGTTGTGCTTACCAAGGCTCTGTGCAATTATAGAAATATTATGAAAAAAAAAAACGAAGCAATTGAAACAAATCAACGAGTTATAGACAATTGAAAAACGGTTCCATATTAAAACACTAAATAGTTAGAACAGGAAAATTCGCACCAAAAAAAGGATTAATTTAATGATTTACTGACCAAAAGCAATCCCCATCCAGTTGGCATGAAGGCAAGAATGCAGACTACAAAATCCCGAAAGCGTCATATGATCGGAGCACTATAAGGTAATGAAAATAGATAAAATGAATAATATATAAATCCGTAACCGTCGAAAACAAAAGTTGCTCGTCTGCACTTAATGTCCCTTCCAGGCAGAACGCCTGAAAATTTTCAGACCATTGTCAAAAAAATCCTAAGAAGCAATAAATTGATTTTACTGTCGGTAAATAGTTTGCCCTAACAAAAAGAGTTTGTAAACCCAAGTTAAAAATTTTCTGCCATGAAAAATATGCAGACAAATTACCTAGCACACTCACAAGCTTATTGATCATTAAATGCCTATATGAGCATTTGCGTCAGGACGTCGTGGAACAAGACTCTCTGAAAAAAATGGTTAAATGGGTGTGTCAATTTTGACAGCAGCAAAAACCATAAAGACGGCACTCCTGCGTTGGGTCGAGGGAAATCATTTTTTCAGAGCCTGATGGTGACGTTTAAGAACTGTCGTCTGTAATGCTGTGTTGAGAGAAAAGAAAAAATAAAGTCAGATTGGTTAATCAGTGTCTTAAAAGCAGATTTGATGTTGATAAACCTAAAAATACAAAAGCCTTGCCTCATAAAAAGGACAAAAGAAGGAAAGGCTTTCCGTGGTAATTTGCCACCAAAATCGCATGAATGACACTTAGGAGAGTCCAAAAAAACTCTTGAAACACGAAAAGTATGGCTATGGTCGGATAATTCACATATTAGGAGTCCTGAAAATTTTAACTACCCACCTTCATCACCACCGAAAATTGAAAGGCGATCCCCAGCCACGAAACAACATTAGACATGCAACGACGAATGGAAAGGAAAAGTAATATTTCCACCTGGCTTTATAAAAATAATAGATATTGAATGTAACGGTCGAAAGAGAAGCAATAAGCATATAACAGAAAATTTTGGTTTTGTACAATGTTAGGTGTAGACAAGCCATACTGGTAGACGAAAAAGCGCAAAATGTTAAATTTTTATCAGTAATGATACACGTATTCCAGAGTAATGATGATGCTCAGTTCTTCGTATCACCAGGTTCCCAACTGTTTTCAGGAGAACACCATTGCTTTTTTTTAGATTGTTTTATCCACTTATTCCAATCCGCCAGTCACGAACAATCTTTTGCCCCCTCAAAACCTCTTGTGGATTGAATGAGAAAAAAACAACAAAAAGCAGGGGCATGTCTCCAACCCCCGAACCAATCCTGGTAATTTTTATGGAGGAAGTAATATTAATTTAACAATCTGAACGACCAAATAGTGGTACAACCAAGGCAGAATCAGAGCTCGTACTTGCCAAATGGCTTTGAGTAGAGCCGTAAGTATCAGCGGAATGGCATGAAACACTACAAAGCTACGACCCGTTGCTCGGTATTCTGCACCTCGTGAAGTAAAGTCTTTCCATAAAGGGCGTCTTGGTACCAAGAGAAAATGTGAAAAAACAGGGCCAATGGAATGCCATTATATGAAATGCTTAGTGCAACCGGAACTGTCTCAACCATTTCCACACCTAGGCCAAGCCATCAAAAAGCCAATTTGCACAACAGATGAGAAAGCCAGAGCTATTTGAGAGCTTATTGGCTCGCATAGCTCGATGATACTCAGCCCACTTCACGCCCCAGGAGAACAGGAAAAAGGCGACAGTTTGAGAGAAACACATGCTGTATAAGACAGTCAATGTCAAACCCGAACCAAAACATTTGAGAACTGGTAAAGGATTATATATGAAATGAGAGAGAGAGGTAGATTTTCTACATACGAAAGGGTGAAATAGAGACCAATTGTGTGTGAAAGTAGCCAGCAGAGAGCAGCAGGAAAGAAATCAAAATTGCCAAGCTTCATAGATGTCACGATCAGTGTCTGTTTCGCAATTCCCATTAGCTATTTTTGCCTCAAAAATCGAGATTGGTTCAGGCAACATTCGTCCTTTCCAACTGTATAAATCACTTGGAGAGTAAACAATGCTTCGCGTACAGTAGAATTGAAACCGCGACAAGACCATGTGAAATGGTAAACTACCAAAACCAAAAAAAAGTCAAAAGTCTCTTTAAACAAAGCGATGAGAGGCCTGCAACTATGTCCTCGCTACATTGATTGACTTTGGAAGCTTTGCTGACACCGCAAGATGCAATGCACCAACCGTCTATCAAATAAAAATCAATATCAAAACATTCTGGATGGGCCATAGTGGAAAAAAAAAAAAATATCCTTGATGAGAGGAAAAAAAAAAAAAAAAAAAAAAAAAAAAAAAAAAAAGGATTAGGATTAGCAGCTTGATCGGTTGAACTAGTTAAGAAACATAGGGTAACTGAAAAGTTGTGTAGTGTGTATTCTTGAGATACCTGTCAGGAGAAAGAAACACAACACAAAAAAAAGATTTTCGAGCGCCACCTCAGACAATTGGGTACAAATAAGTCCCTAGAGTGTTCAAACTTGTCCTTATCTTCTCCTGACCGTTTAAAAGGAGGGCTTAGGAGTAAAATTGATCACATGTAATAGGACCTTCTTTTGTGGTCGGCATGATTCTTAGCATTCCAAATTACCTTCTTGAAACATACTTTCTCCCAGGTTGTCTGATATATTGAATAACTTGGTCATTCCAAAGGGGTAAATAATGTATATCTTTCTGAACCCCTATATGACGAAGGATTCCATAGTCTTAAAACCGTCTAAAGCTTGATGTTGAAAACGTATTGGGTCTGAGAGAAGTTAAAATACAATACCCAATACCAAATTTGCGAAACATGCCCAAAAAAATTAATGTGTTATTTATGTCTATTTCAAGTGCTTAGACCGCATTTGTCGATGCTGAAATTAATGCGACCTGTTTCTAATTTCCAAGCAAACGTGATACTCGAAATTAAAAATTGGATTTTTGGATCCAGTATCTGATATCTTTCTAGTGGGAATAATCTCCATAGCTAAAGAACGTAAAACTGGTTGTCCGCAATGTGATAGTCAAGCTTCGAACTACAAAGAGAGACCTCTTTAACACTAAAGGAATGAGCAGGAGACTCTCATTATTATTTTAAAAAAGTTTCAACAAAAAAAGCTCGACACTTTCTCTGAAAAAAGTGTTGTTGGCTAAATCGAAACTATTATCGCGCAACTTTAAAATAGTATGGAAAAACCTTTTCTATTGTCCATGTTTATTTTTCAATTAAACGAAAATTATTCTTATATAAAGTAACGATCGAGATCAATAAATTGTTATAAAAAGATTTTAATGTTTTGTCTAAGAAATATAAAGAACAATGGATAATAATCAAACTATCAATGTGTAGTGTTTAAAAACAATCTCATTGTAGCCTAGCTGGGTTTCTAATGACGAACTGCAGGTAAGACTGCCAGAACCATTATAAGAAAGTAGTTATAATCATTGTTTATTGCTATCTAATAGGGTGCACTGTTACCTTGTATACGAAATAGATGCAAAACTATGACAGAAGTACAGAATGCAGTAATAAAACTTTTCAGATGAAACTAATTTAATATTGTCACAATTACTATGATTTTTTGCACTTAAATTCCATATTTGACACGCGTGTTTGATAAACCTCCAACATGGCTCCAGGATACCAAATGTTAAAAAAAAAAAAAAAAAAAAAAAAAAAAAAAAAAAAAAAAAAAAAAAAAAAAAAAAAAAAAAAAAAAAAAAAAAAAAAAAAAAAAAAAAAAAAAAAAAAAAAAAAAAAAAAAAAAAAAAAAAAAAAAAAAAAAAAAAAAAAAAAAAAAAAAAAAAAAAAAAAAAAAAAAAAAAAAAAAAAAAAAAAAAAAAAAAAAAAAAAAAAAAAAAAAAAAAAAAAAAAAAAAAAAAAAAAAAAAAAAAAAAAAAAAAAAAAAAAAAAAAAAAAAAAAAAAAAAAAAAAAAAAAAAAAAAAAAAAAAAAAAAAAAAAAAAAAAAAAAAAAAAAAAAAAAAAAAAAAAAAAAAAAAAAAAAAAAAAAAAAAAAAAAAAAAAAAAAAAAAAAAAAAAAAAAATATTTAAGTCTGGTTTAGATGGTGAAGTTTTTGTTGGAAATGCACTTACAAGTATGTATTCGAGGTTGAGGCGGTTAATAGAAGCTAGGAGTGTGTTTGATGAAATGGCGAATGAGGTTTTGGTTTCATGGAATGCAATACTATCAGGTTACTCTCAAGAGGGAAATCATGGGCTTGAGGCGATTTTTGTCTTTATTGAGATGGTGGGAGAAGGGATGGGGTTAGATCATGTCTCATTTACTAGTGCAGTTGCAGCTTGCGGACATGAAATGAGTTTAGAACTTGGGAAACAGATACATGGCTTGACAATTAAATCAGGATATGGAAGTCATGTTTCAGTTTGTAATGTATTGATCTCGACATATTCAAAGTGTGAGGTTACTGAAGATGCAAAATTAATTAGTCTTTCAGTGCATGAATGATCGCAACGTAGTGTCTTGGACAACTATGATTTCAATAGACGAAGAAGATGTCATCTCTCTGTTTAATGAGATGAGATTGGATGGAGTATATCCAAATGATGCTACATTTGTTGGACTAATCCATGCTATATCAATTAGGAAGTTGGTGGAAGGCGAAATGATTCATGGGTTTTGCATAAAGACTGGCTTTTTATCAAAGCATAATGTTTGCAACAGCTTGATCACCATGTATGCTAAGCTTGAGTCCATGCATGACTCCATCAAAGTTTTTGAGGAGCTAAACTGCAGAGAAATCATATCATGGAATGCTTTGATTTCAGGGTATGCTCAGAACGGGCTGTGTCAAGATGCACTAAAAACATTCTTGGTAGCAACTATGGAGTCGAAGCCAAACAACTACACATTTGGTAGTGTCTTGAGTGCAATTGGTGACGCTCAGGATATTTCTCTGAAATATGGCCAATGATGCCGTGCGGCTATACCATTTAAATATAGTATTTTCAAAGTACAGCCGCTCGGCTAGACTTAACGTATCCGAATATACTCGAAGGGTACAGCCGGTTGGCTCTACTGTTAAAATATTTGAATATATTCGAAGAATATAGCCGATCGGCTGTACTATTTTAATATAATTTTTTAAATATTCTACTACCCCCTTCAATTTGAGAGTTTTTTTCTCTCTTGCGCCAGAGAGAGATGAGGAATTGATTTCTAAACTCAAATTATTGGATCATTCATTTAACATTAAATCCATTTCCTCTAGATCACATTTAACACAGGATAGCTGCCTTAGAAGGAAGAAAAGGTAAAAGCAAAACCACAACAAGGTAAGCAATGCGGCAAGGATTTTAAGAATTGGAACACTTATGTAGCAAAGTAGCAAGGATGACACACACACACATTTGATAAGTAACATAAGATTCTCTGTTGCACATAATCCAAATCTGCATGGTTCTTAACTGATCAATTTGCTTGGATGATATAACCATACCATCCAGGAATGAATTATTACATGATCAACTTGCAGAACCTACACTGTAGAGAAGCTAAAGTCACTGGTTTTCAAGTATCCTGCATAAACTGTGTTGGATTTGTAGATGTCATAAAAGATAGACGTACCATGATGTAGAAAAGTAGAAGACAGAAGCTCGAACAATCTTCAGTCCAATCCGAATGTAATCTTGCACACACCAATGAAATCAGCTATCCATTGTAACATATCTCGAAACTCCACAGGTAGCTGATACACATAAAGCAAGACAATGTTGAGGCCTGTATAAAAGTGAAAAGGCATCCCCCAGTTAAAGTGTATGCAATCTATCTTCTTTCATCTTCCATGTTTGCTATTATCTATACTTCTTGAAATTACTTCATGTTCATTATCCAAAAGGAGGACCATGATATGCAGACACATTCTTTCATTTTCCAATTCTAGGTTATTTATTTCTTCTTTTTTGGATTGCCAAGGATGGTTCAATTTTATTACACTTTCTATGTTTTATTTTTTACTTTTTCATTTTGCTTTAATGATGCTTCTAAGTAAATTCTTGCACAAGCAATTTTATAATACGAAATTCAAGATTCTTTTATCCCCAAAATGTTGGTGGATCCCCTTTTGTTGTTGTCGTATTTATGGGTTTAACCCGTATTAATTCTTATAAATAAAATCCATTTTTATTCTTGCCTAATGGACTAATAGCTCGAAATCATTAGAATTGGAGGTGTCGGAAAGAATTTAAATTCTCATTCCCCAATATCATTGATATAAAAAAAATAATTGAAGAAATAACTCTATCCTAATTAGCTAAAGTGGTATTTTAAAATAACATGACAAAATTGTATATTTACATAGAATCGCCGCACGGCTATACTATTTAAATATATTATTTTCAAGGTATAGCCCTTCGGCTATACGCTTCGAATATATAAAGGTACAGACCAGCGTCTATACTACTTAAATATATTATGTTCACGGTATCGCCGTTCGGCTATGCTCTAGAATATTTTAGGGTATAGCCGAACGGCTATACTGCTTAAATATATTCACAAACGCGAAGCTTGCACTCGCAGTCACAGCCATTTCGCTACTCCATAAGCGCTTCCAAGCTTCAAAGACTCGGTCTTGAGCCTCTCTCTCTCAACTCAAACTTCGATTTTTTTCCTTTCGTTTCGGCTGCTCCGTTGATTGGATTGGATTGGATTGGAATCTCTCTACGAAAACCATCAAATGTCATTCAGCCATTGAAATCTCCACTAAGATAACAACTCTGATACTATAAGGGAGTTTCGGCGGCCTGGGCTGTTCTAGGTGGCCCGGGCGGTTCTAGGCGGCCTGGACGGTTCTAGGCGGCCTAGGCGGTTCTAGGCGGTTCTAGGCGGCCTGGGCGGTTCTAGGCGGCTCTGGTGGGTCTAGGCGGCGCCTAGGTGGCCTGGGCGGGTCTGGCACCTCTTTTTTGTTCCAAATGAGGACAGACAAAACTTGCACTCACAGAGGAATGTGGTGCGCGAGTGGAATGCAGAGACAGAGAAACGAACACGATGAAGTTACCGTTACCCTTAGAGCCCTTGACATGTTCTGTAAGCAACTTCAACTACATTTGTCTCATATCATCGATGAAAATACCATTACCCTTAAACCCAGATACCAAATTCACGGGTTTGCTTCATATACTACGGTTTCAAATTCTTTGATGAGGTTGTACACCAAAGCTGGACAGTTTGATGGTCCCTTACTTATCTTTCAGACTATGTGCTGTACTGATATAGTTTCTTGGAATACTATTCTTTCGGGTTTCGAACAAGTGAGGGTGCATTGAATTTTGCTCTTATGATGAATTTTAATGGAGTTCTTTTTTATCCAGTGACTTATACTACGATTCTTGCTTTTTGTGCGGATCATGAAGATTTTCTATTTGGATTATAACTGCATTCTCTTATATTTAAGTCTGGTTTAGATGGTGAAGTTTTTTTTTATAAGTATGTATTCGAGGTAGAGGCGGTTAATAGAAGCTAGGAATGTGTTTGATGAAATGGCGAATGAGGATGTGGTTTCATGGAATGCAATACTAGCAGGTTACTCTCAAGAGGGAAATCATGGGCTTGAGGCGATTTTTGTCTTTATAGAGATGGTGGGAAGAAGGGATGGGGTTTAGATCATGTCTCATTTACTAGTGCAGTTTCAGCTTGTGGTCATGAAATGAATTTAGAACTTGGGAAACAGATACATGGCTTGACAATTAAATCAGGATATGGAAGTCATGTTTCAGTTTGTAATGTATTGATCTCGACATATTCAAAGTGTGAGGTTACTGAAGATGCAAAATTAGTCTTTCAGTGCATGAATGATCGCAACATAGTGTCTTGGACAACTATGATTTCAATAGACGAAGAAGATGCCATCTCTCTATTTAATGAGGTGAGATTGGATGGAGTATATCCAAATGATGTTACATTTGTTGGAATAATCCATGCTATATCAATTAGGAAGTTGGTGGAGGAAGGCGAAATGATTCATGGGTTTTGCATAAAGGCTGGCTTTTTATCAAAGCGTAATGTTTGCAACAGCTTGGGTATGCTAAGTTTGAGTCCATGCATGACTCCATCAAAGTTGGAGTTAAACTGCAGAGAAATCATATCGTGGAATGCTTTGATTTCAGGGTATGCTCAGAAAGGGCTGTGTCAAGATGCACTAAAAACATTCTTAGTAGCAACTATGGAGTCAAAGCCAAACAATTACACATTTGGTAGTGTTTTGAGTGCAATTGGTGATGCTCAGGATATTTCTCTGAAATATGGCCAATGATGCCACTCTTCCTTGATCAAACTTGGATTAGTGACTGGCCCAATTATCGCAGGTGCTCTTCTTGATATGTATGCAAAGCGAGGAAGCATTTGTGAGTCCAAAAGAGTTTTCAGTGAGACGCCTCATAAAAGCCAGTTTGCTTGGATTGCAATAATATCTGCATATGCTGGGCATGGAGACTATGACTCAGTGATAGAATTGTTCAAGGAGATGGAGAGAGAAGGGAGTAAGACCTGATTCAGTCACATTTCTTTCTATACTAGCAGCAGGCTGCAGAAATGGAATGGTGGAGATGGGCCGTCACCTCTTTCATTCAATGGTGAAGGACTATCATATTGAACCATCTCCTCAACATTATTCAAGTATGGCGGACATGGTGGGATGTGCAGGGAAATTGGAGGAAGCAGAGGAATTGATGAGTCAGATCCCGGGACAGCCAGGGTTTTCATTGTTGCATAGCCTGCTCGGGGCTTGCAGGATCCATGGGAATGTGGAGATGGCGGAGAGAGTAGCCAATACATTAATGAGATTGGAACCAATGGAATCGGGTTCTTTTGTGTTGATGTCCAACTTGTATGCTGAGAAAGGGGACTGGGAAATGGTAGCAAAAGTTGGGAAATGGAAGAGAGATGAAGGAGTGAGAAAGGAATTGTGATATAGTTGGGTGGATACTGGTGATGCGGCTGTACTATTTAAATATATTATTTTGACGGTATAGCCGTGCGGCTGTACTCCTTGAATATATTCGAATATTTTAAAGGTATAGCCGCCCGGCTATACGCTTCAAATGTATTCGAAACCAACACGAAGCTTGCACTTGCACTCGCAGTCGCGGCCGTTTCGCTTCTCTATAAGCGCTTCCAAGCTTCAAAGACTCTCTCTCTCTCTCTCTCTCTCTCTCTCTCAAGCTTCAAAAAAAAAAATTCTTTCGTTTCGGCTGCTGTGTTGATTGGATTGGATTGGACTCTCTGTACGAAAACCATCAAATGTCATTCAGCTATTGAAATCTCCACTAATTAAGATAACTCTGATGCTATAAGGGAGTTAGGCAGCTTGGGCTGGTCTAGGCGCTGGGCGGTCTAGGCGGCCCTAGGCGGCCTGGGCGGTTCTAGGCGGCGCCTAGGCGGCCTGGGCGGTTCTAGGCGGCACCTAGGCGGCCTGGGGGGTCTGGGCGTCCTTTTTTTTTCAAATGAACACAGATGAAGCTTGCACTCGCAGAGTTATGTGGTGCGCGAGTGAAATGAAGAGACAGAGAAACGAACACGAAGCTTGCACTCGCAGTCCAATCTTCAAAATTCAAATACTCGGTCTTGAGCCTCTCTCTCAACTCAAGCTTGGATTTTTTTTCTTCGGTTCGGCTGCTGTGTTGATTCGATTTTTGTTTGTGCTTTTCTGTTATTGAAGTTGGCAATGTCAGATGAACATCCAAGGCAGTTTCTTAGTATGCCAGAAGAAGCCCAGCAGATGGTTCTTTAACCTGGGGCACACATTGCAGTTTGGTATTGGATTACACCCATGCCGGTCTGAATGACAAAGATGGACCTCTGGTGACACGGACGACTATAGTTCGGTGAGTGTGCGTTTGTGCTGTGGCTTCTCTTGTTTGGTTGCTGAGAAAATGTTGAGAAACCAGGAAGAAATTGAGTAATTTGTTTACTGGAATTATGTTTATTTAACAAAACATAGATATTAAGTATATATTGTGTAATACCAGCTGGCTGGCTATTGTATTTGGTTTTGTGAAATTCTAAAATGTTATATTATTTTATCTTTTGTGTGGTATTCTGTAGCAATCCTTTTCAGGAATGTTTTCAGAATTTCATGCCTATTTCAGTCAATGGATCGAGGTGAGTGTTTTGCTGTTATTGATTCTATTTAATTGAGTTAGTCTATATCTATCTTCTAATCCCTTTTTAGTCCTTGACTTGTGTTAATTTTCCTAGGTAACAAATGTCCTTTGTGCCCAACAGTTCTTTTCATTACTCCTAGAACATGTGCTTATAATAATTGAATGAGATGCTTGTATTATTTGACATCAGAATTGTTGCTTTATGGTTTTCTATACCTATGCTGTTTGTAATGGACATGGTTGCGCATCCCCCAGGAGTTCCACCTATTATAGATTAAGTCTGGCATTCTCACTTTTACAGAGTATGATAATTAGTGGATTTGTGGTTTCTAGATTTTGGAAAGAAAAAAAAATTCCAAGTAATATGAAATTAGAATGATATGTGCATTCTAATTTTTTGTGCTTAATTAGTGTTATAGCTTTCAGAGTTTACCAAGATTGTTTGCTTCAGTTCTGACACCTTCAATATCTTCTTTTTGTTTTTCCCATTGTGACACTTAATGACATTAAACAAAAGAAATTCCCAGAGGAATTTGCCGCAAGGAAGTTGGAGAACGATACAATGACAAACTTTGGTGTTGATATGATGCCACTCTTTGTAATGGATGGTGTCCTCCCATTTCAGAAGTTTCTGCTACCCATTTTTGAACCTCGGTATAGACTTATGGTAAGTTGGTTAGCAGTTTGTATTTTTCACATATGACTTTCATAAAATATTTAAACGTAGAAGTGCATTTGCTGCAAAATAACTATGTTGAAAATGTTATCTAGCAAGTTTTGTATGCCTACTTGGTACTTTTCTACGGTCCATGTGATCCATGTGTTTTGTTGTTTTTGTTGAATATTCATAGATTTTTGCTTGTACCTTGTTTTTGTTTTAATTTTTTTAATGGGTTATCTCCATAAGTTAAATCTCTTAGTCCTCTATAATAGGTATATGGATGGCCTTAAAAAATATCCTGAATTAGATTAATATTATTGCTTGACTGAGATTGCATGTTTCAATTTGGTGGTCAGTTGTAATGGTTGGAAATGAAGGATTAGTTTTATTAGGTTAAACCTTTTGTTCCACTGAAAAGATAGACGTACCATGATGTAGAAAAGTAGAAGACAGAAGCTCGAACAAACTTCAGTCCAATCTGAATGTAATCTTGCACAGACCAATGAAATCAGCTATCCATTGTAACATATCTGGAAACTCCACAGGTAGCTGATACACATAAAGCAAGACAATGTTGAGGCCTGTATACAAGTGAAAAGGCGTCCCCCAGTTAAAGTGTATGCAATCTATCTTCTTTCATCTTCCATGTTTGCTATTATATATACTTCTTGAAATTACTTCATGTTCATTATCCAAAAAGAGGACCAGGATATGCAGACACATTCTTTCATTTTCCAATTCTAGGTTATTTATTTCTTCTTTTTTGGATTGCCAAGGATGGTTCAATTTTATTACACTTTCTATGTTTTATTTTTTACTTTTTCATTTTGCTTGAATGATACTTCTAAGTAAATTCTTACACACAAGCAATTTTATACTACGAAATTCAAGATTCTTTTATCCCCCAAAATGTTGGTGGATCCCCTTTTTTTGTTGTTGTATTTATGGGTTTAACCCGTATTATTTCTTATAAATAAAATCCATTTTTTATTCTTGCCTAATGGACTAATAATTGGAAATCATTAGAATGGGAGGTATCAGAAAGAATTTAAATTCTCATTCTCCAATATCACTGGTATAAAAAAAAATTTTGAAGAAATAACTCTATCCTAATTAGCTAAAGTGGTATTTTAAAATAACATGACAAAATTGTATATTTGCATAGTATAGCCGCAAGGATATACTATTATTTTCAGGGTATAGCCGTGCGGCTATACGTTTCGAATATAATCGAATATTTTAAAGGTACAGACGCACTGCCATACTATTTAAATATATTATTTTAAAAGGCACCGCCGTGCGGCTATACTATAGAATATTTTAAGGTATCGCCGTGCGGCTATACTCCTTAAGCTTGCACTCACCGTGCGGATCCCCTTTTTTTGTTGTTGTATTTATGGGTTTCCAGATCCCACTGTCCCTACAATAGCCGTCAGCTCCCCTTTATTGACATTCAAATTTATGTGTTTCAAATCCTCTTCTTTGCTTCATCATCCCAGCTAAACGCGCCATTTTTAACCACCACAGCAGTTCTACTATCACAGCCCTTGCCTCTCTCCACCGCATCCTCCACCAATTCCCTACTCATCATATAACGGTCCAACCTCCCAAGAGATATCATAGCTTGAGAAATTGAAATCATAGATTGTGGGAAGGTCCTGATGGGATCCCAAAAAATGTTGAAGATGCTTGTGGTTCTGAACAATGTCTCGGGCCGGCATCAAGCCGGACACCCAATAAGAGTGCAGTGCCAAATGTGAGAGTTGATATAAGTACTGGGGTGCACAACATTGGCAGAGATTGAATACATGAACTTGGTCAGCCAGCTAAACTCCGACTCGCGGAAAGGCTGGATTCTCTTATTAAAGTGCCCCTCCCAAGCCTGGAATTTGATCACACGCATGTAGTTAAGCATCTCATTTGTTGCCTTCATTCTTGAATCCCAACACTTCATCACATTAGATTGGAACCTGTTGTTCCGTCTCGTGCCCAGCACAACAAACACAAGAACGCACATGATTCCTACTACAGATGTTATATACTCCGTGTTTTTTTTGTTTTTTGTCAAATTAATAGTATAGCCGCGCGGCTATACAATACACATATAAAAATTGGGTCAGATGTCTTCTTCTTCCCAGCGTCGCCTTCTCCTTCCTCTCTCTCTCTCTCTCCGTCTTTCTTCCTAACAAGCAGCGGATCCTGCGCACTTCAACCGCCCTTCCTCCACTCCTCAAAGGCAAAACGCCCGCCCAGAGCCGCCTAGGGCCGCCTAGGCCGCCTAGGCGGGCTCCCAGATGCGGCCTAGCTCCCTGGCGCCTACCCTTGGATGCCACATCCTGGAAGGGTACCTCTTGGTGTACCGGAACTGACTAAAGTTGGTTCGAAATTGAAATATAATTAGCTTTCGGTTGGCGTGGAATTAAGATTACACTGTTTTCACAGTCATGTGGCAGGTCACTGGTGAATCAACCTTCCTAGTCTGATGATCTTGTACTGTAAAACCACAGCAAGGTAAGCAATGCGGCAAGGATTTTAAGAATTGAAACACTTACGTAGCTAAGTAGCAAGGATGACACACACATTTAATAAGTAACATAAGATTCTCTGTTGCACATAATCCAAATCTGCGATCAACTTGCAGAACCTACACTGTAGAGATGCTGAAGTCACTGGTTTTCAAGTATCCTGCTACATAAACTGTGTTGGATTTGTAGATGTCATAAAAGATAGACAAACCATGATGTAGAAAAGTAAAAGAGAGAAGCTCGAACAAACTTCAGTCCAATCCGAATGAAAAGTTATCTTGAATAGACCAATGAAATCAGCTATCCATTGTAACATATCTGGAAACTCCGCATGTAGCGGATATACATAAAGCAAGACAATGTTGAAGCCTGCATACAAGTGAAAGGGCGTCCCCCAGTTAAAGCATATGCAATCTATCTTCTTTCATCTTCAATGTTTACTATTATCTGTACTTCTTGAAATTGCTTCATGTTCATTATCCAAAAAGAGGACCATGATATGCAGACACATTCTTTCATTTTCTCATTCTAGGTTATTTATTTCTTCTTTTTTGGATTGCCAAGATGGTTCAATTTTATTACACTTTCTATGTTTTATTTTTTACTTTTTCATTTTGCTT